AATGTAAGTGAAATGTGTAACAAGCGTAAGGCTTCAGGCCCATGGGAGTTTAAGTTCACACTTTGAAAATGCCAGAATGAGAAAAATGAAAATTTCACATAAAACTGCTTAAATTCAATAATAAATGATAACCCATTTGAGCTGGCTTTCTTATTTGAACTGCATGCCAATCCTACAAATCATATTTGTAAGTTGAAAATAATAATAAGTAACACAGTTTTCTTTTCATAATGTTTGTAGTAGCAGTGCAAAAAGATTTTTGTCAATTTTGATGTAACATTACATAATAAATTACAGAATAATTATCCGTATCATGAATTTTCAGAAAATGTGATTAGCATGGGTCTTCAAGCTCGTGGAGGTTCTTAAGTCACACCTTGAAAATGCCAATATGTGAAAAATTAAATTTTCAAAAAAAAAAAAACAGTTTAACTGCCAGAAAAATTTACCAAACAAACTGCATTGCCCACTGAAGCTTTATTTAAGTCCCATGTTTCTTTCCTGTAAGTTTGAGAACAGTAAGTGACATGGTTTTCCTTAAATGGAAACCCAAAATAGGGGTTTCTTCAAATTTTGATGCAACATAGCATAATGTTTAACAGCATAGTGACCATCAATTTTTAATAATAAAATATTAGTATCATGGATATTAAGAAAATGTGACCAGCAAAGGTCTTCAGTACCATGGAACTTCAAAGTCACACCTTGAAAATGCCAAAATGTAAACAAGACAGCACTGTTCTAAAATGTTTTTTTCCATTTTTAACAATTTTTAACATAAAACAAAATTAACAGTTTACTGCCATTTTTATATGATCAACTAAGAAAATTGATGCGATGGGAAAAATATCAATAGAATAGTGTTAAATGTCCAATTTCCTCCATTCTGAGATTCTGAACATAGTGAATGATTAAATCTGACAAACTGCAATGATATGAGTTTATTTCCATTTTTGACACTTTTTTTACACAATACATGATAACAAGTTTACCATCATTTTTACTAAATCAACTAACAATGTTGTAAAGCTGCAGGAAATGTCAAACAAACGCTTTTACGTATCTTATTAGTTTAATAATGAGACTGTTAACATGCCTAAGAATTGAATCTGAGGAAATGTGAAAAAACAACATACCTTCTAAAATATTGGCCTGCTGATTATGCTGATTTTCGAACTTGACCTGCGTTTTAGTAAGATTGATTACTCCTGTGAGTTTCATGACAACAGGTCTATCGGTTTTCCTTGAAATGTGTTAACAGTGTTGCACATATGCTGAAAAGTGAAAAAAAACAGCATAACTACTAAAATAGTAGCCCGATCATGCCGATTTTCGAACTTGACCTGCGTTTTAGTAAGATTGATTACCCCTATGAGTTTCATGACAACAGGCCTATCGGTTTTCCTTGAAATGTGTTAACAGTGTTGCATATATGCTAAAAAGTGAAAAAACAGCATAAATTCTACAATAATTGCCCGATCATGCTGATTTTCGAACTTGACCTGTGTTTTATGAATACTTATCAGCTCTGTAAATATAAAGCCAAAAAGTAAAACTGTCTTCCACTTATGGTGTTAACGCTGAAAGTGCACGGCGACGGCGACGACAGACGCAGGTGATGGCAATATGTACAGACACATCTGTGTCTGTACATAACAAATCAATCGCGCTGTCAGCCGAAGAAAGGCTTTTAAACTGCACCTTCTCCAAATTCCTGAAATAAATCAGCCCCTGAAGTTCATAATGATCGAAAAATGAAATGAAAGGAAACAATGAAATAAAACCCTGTTGTATAATATCGGTTATGCTATTTGAAATTGCATGATGGTATTAGGTAACGGATATATAGGCAACAACTGAACACATTTACAATGTTTACCCTCAAGGGACATCTAGTTAAAATTTGTCATCATTAAGCGGAAGGCCCATGCACGGTACACCAAACGCTTAAAATTCGTATATAGTAACTCTTCACTTACCGCAGAAATAAGTTCCTGTCTGTCTAGTCCTTCCTTTAATGGATTCAGCAAAGACGTGTTCGTGGCAGCTCTAGCTCCTGGGTCAGGCCTCTACTCAGACAGTCCTCTTTTATATTAAATTTTTTTCAGCTTAATGTATTGTCCTGCAGGAGTCACCACCGCTCTAGTATCAACACGTAGGCCAATGTACATATAATTGAAAACACATTTATATGTAAATTGAAAAATGTTGAACATATGACAGGCATTTGTGTGCTTCACAGACCACGCTAAATAATATAAACATTTCACGTATCTCGAGAAATAAAAATAGGCCTTCCCGCGGGTAACGAAAATACACAATGGGACCCTGCTAAAACTGTCGGCTGTAATGACTTTTTTTCGCTATTTGTATTCATAGCAGCATTCCCGACACAACACCATGCTGGTTATATCACTGGCGAATGTAATGAAAAACAACGTTTCATTTGAATTGGAAAATGTCATACTATCATCTGAATGTGTAACAAAAGGTACATAACAACATCTTATTTTCTGGTGTGCCTGAAATCCAAGCTGTTATTTTATGAATCTGGCCATGACACAAAAACACAAGTTTTGATGTTGTCATTCGTTTAACTTGATAAAAACAGGGGCGGATTCAGAGATATTTCCTGACAGTCTTCCAAATTATCTTTGTTGATCCATTCTTCATTTTTGACCGTCTTCCGACGTAAAAATAAGACAACTTTCAATGTAAACTTGAAAATCTGACCGTCTTCCGGAAGACCCAGAAGATGGCCTGAATCCGCTCCTGAAAAAGACAGACTTTCCCCATGTATTTGAGACCCGTTGTAACACTAACAGAGACGCATGCGCACAAGCACGCGCACACATACACGCACGCACAAGAGTCTTTCTTGTCCTCCCTCCTTTCCTATGTAGGTATAACACTCTTTCTGATTGCATACAATGTTAATGTACTTTTAGAATACTTGCTTGGGTGCTGTTTTTCAGAAAAATATCACAGATGCAAGATTTGTATTTGACACGAAAATCTATTTCCTCACCATTTCAGAATACTATAATAAATGTGATGTTCAATTCACACAGTTGAATTACTGATGCAACCTCCAGATGAGTGCCTGTATTGTTTGCTATATTTTAAGTTACAAAATAAAAAAAGCATCTTGTGGTTACGGAAGTCTATTCGATGACAATATTACCAACTTCTTGTCTTCATCAATGATTTTGAGCTACAGGACATGTAAGGAACCTCAACGGAATTTTAATTCAATTCAATTCAATTGAGTTTATCAACTGTGTTGACTTTGAATTAACATTAAATCCGAATTTCTCTGAGGCGTGTAACAAATATCTAGTTTCCCTGCAAAAAAGTTTGACATGAGGATCAATCACTGACCACAGGGGCGGATTTCTGGGTCGTCCAGAAGACAGTCAGATTTTCAAGTTTACATTAAAAGGTATCTTATTTTGCTGTTGGAAGACGGTCAAAATTGGAGGATGGATCAATAAAGATAATTTGGAAGACTGTCAGAAAATAGCTCTGGATACGCCCCTGGACCAGTATGACCTAAGCATCAGATGCCTTGGAACGTAAATGACTCCTTCAGGCGACTGGACAGCACATTTAAAGCGTGTGCACACATACGTGTGTGTGTGTGTGTGTGTGTGTGTGTGTGTGTGCGTGACCGTGTGTCTGTGGCGGGAGGGAGGGTATCATGTGATATCACAGGGGCCTATAAAACTGAAAAAAGAATGGAATAATTTTTAAACATACTACTGGCTGACCGACTTAAAAGCTTGTAGCTCAATTCCCGATGAAACACTGAAGAGATTCCCAGCGGGGATTACCCAGCAAGTATTCCAGTGGGTCGGCCATATTTGATCCGTGGATCAGTTGGCCTGCTGTCCTGAATGCGCTCAAAGAGTATAGTGTATGTGTGATTGTGGGGGGGGGGGGGGGGGGGGGGGGAAAAAGGTAAAAAAATCTCAGGGAGGGGGGGGTTTGGAACCC